CGAGGGCTCCGCGGGCACGCTCTGCGCCCCCGGCCGGCCCGCGGGCGCTGCGCGGAGCCTCCCCGGGCGGGCGCAGCCTACCCGGGAGAGCCGCCGCGAGCCAGCTGCCTCCCCGCAGAGGCCGCCGCGGACCCTCCGGCGCTCGGGGCGGCGGCGGCGGCGGCTGGGGCGCAGGGCTCTCCTCCGCGCGGGAGCGGTGTCCGGAGCGCAGGCTCGCCTCCGCGCGGGAGCGGTGTCCGGAGCGCAGGCTCGCCTCCGCGCGGGAGCGGCGCAGCGCCCGCGCCTTTCCGCAAGCCTTGACTCCGTGGAGGCTCGCGGCGGGGGAGCCCGAGGCTGCTCCGTGGCTCTGTCTCCCCTGTGCGGGCAGGGGGACGGTGCAAGTTGCATCGTTGTGGAAAAGGGGGCAGGGGGCCCAGCCCAGCCCTGCCCTGCCCAACCCCTGCCTTTGCACCCCCAACCCCTTTAAGGCTAGGCAACTTGTTAGAAGCACGGGGTCTGCACCGGGGCGGGGGGGGGGGGCGAGTGTGCGCATGGTGTTGGTAGCCCCCGAGGAAGATGGCTTTGCTTCTCCCACGACGGGCTGGTGCTTCAGAATTTCTTCGGGATGAGAAATGCTGCGACCGCTCGGGCAGCGTCTGCCGAAGGGCTCCATTGCCCATGTGTTAAGCTGCTCCTGGTGGTGAAGGGTTTTAGCCCGTGTGGGTCGCAGGTGCCCTGAGATGAAGGCTGGCCTGACGGAGCAGCCAGGTTGGGGGAAGCAGCTGAAGCCCCATCCGTTTCAACGGGTCCCTTCAAAGTATGATGATGATAACAACATTGCTGTTACATCCTGCTTTTTTCTTCTCGGGAGGAACCCAAGGGCAGCTTACATAGACCGACACTCCATTTTATTCTCAGAACAACAGCCCTGCAGGGCAGGTTAGGCTGAGATTGAGAAACTGCTCTAAAGTCACCCCTTTTTGCAACTGCTAAAATGAAGCTGCAAAAAACCTGTTTCGGGACATCTGTGTTGATCAATCCCAGCCGAACCAAAAGTTCATCATAATGCTTCCTATTTACAAAGAGGCCTCAAAGTATTTTCCTCTATACTTACACCAACCTTGCAAGGTAGGTCACTTTGATTATCTCTATAGTTCAGGGTTAAAGACATATTTTCCTGAATTCAGAAGTATCTTGAATTCTGTTGGAATGAAACAATATTGTGACAAGAATAGGCACATAAAAGCAAAATATTTGCTGGGGTAGTTATTATGCAGTGCAAAGAAACCTGCACCTTCTTTGATGAATTAATGTCAGTGGCAATTGAATTTTGGTGGAAGACTGCATAAAAACACCGAACCCCATGCACTGTTTGGTCACGCTACAGCAAATCGTAATTAGAGGAGCAGTTTTTCCATATTGCTTTTAATTTAGAAGGGTATTTGTCCATCACAAAAGAGTTGATACCTTGCTGAAACTTATATAAATATGTCAATTTTGCTAGTGGAACAATTTGGTAAAAGACAGTGATCTTGGAAAAAAATCAATCTTTGGAGCTTGACATTTGATGTTCTGAACTGGGATAGTGGGAAAATGTTGGGATAGCTAAGAATGCCTATCTTTCCTGAAACTTTCTGGAAACAGTGGTCGTACTATTCATCATGTAAAAAAAAAAAAAGAAGAGTTACTAGTGTTATTGTCCATTTCCCCCCATCCCCAAGCAAACATTCTGCTATATTTCATTAGAGGGAAACAAGAATTTATGTTTCAGTGTTAAATGCTGCCAAACAAAACATTGCACTTTCCCTATATTAATCCAAGTATTATTTTAGGTAGCTAATTCCAAGCCTCTCTCAAATAAACATTGCAATTTTTGAACCAAGCCCCTCCAAAAGACCCCGACTGAGAACTCTTAACCATTCTTTCCACTTTGAATCATAATACCAAAGGCATCCGTGTGTCTCTGCGCATTTCCCCTCAAATGCCGTGTTCTAACTTGATGGGTGAGAATTAGGTAAAGAATCGCTGCTTGTGGAAGTAGACCGAGAGAGATTGATGCTTTGATTAGGGCATTATTCCTTCAGGTGGAGGTTACCTTACAAGGTGTACCAGCACGGGGCAATGTGAAAAAACGAATGATTAGAAAAGCCGGCCTCTTTTGAAGGGCATGGCTCGCCCATCTGCTCCCTGCATGTGCCAAAGATGTGCCCCATTGCAGAGATGCACCAAAACGATCTGCTGGTGGGGGGGTGAGGGGGCTCCCCCCTTGAGGAATGTAGCCAGCTGCCCCAAAGTCAGCCCTTTGTTCGTCTAGTCCAGTATTGCCGAAGCTTTCCTACTTCTAACTGGAGATCTTGGAGCAGAACCAGGACTGGCTGCATGCAAACCGTATGCATTCCTTCTTGCAGAATTGCCAGATATAAAATAAGAACAATAATAAAAAATTAGGAATCAGATGTTTGGAAAGCTTTGACTTCAGTAGCTGAGATCAAAACCACCATAGGGAAAAAAACAAACCGGTTTAGCCTCACGTTCCTGTTTCAAGAGCACCCCTGTCTAAGTTTCTTTTTAACGAGCTTTCTGGCCCAGTCCTGCGCTCAGGCGATGTCTCGCCAAGGCTGGCTTTCCGCTCAGTTGGCAGAATAGGGCCAGCCAGGACCATCTGGGGGGGGGGGGGGGGGATGCTGGCTGGCTGGCGGGCTGAGAGCAGTGGCCGCCCGTGCAGCACCTCCAGCCTTGCTCCTGCGCTTGCCCCTTGCGCGCAGGATTCCCTCCCTGCTCTCGGCAGGCGATTGTGGTGCCATCAAACAAGCCCTCACTCAACACATCCGTCAGGACTTCGTTAGGCCTCATTAACTAATGGATGCAAGCTTCGGGCTTCTCCCAAGCAGTGGGAATGAGAGGGTTCCCACGAATGAATGGAGCCTTCTGGGTGCACTTCAGAAGTACAGAACTTCTTTTCGCCCCTGGACCAAGTGCTATTTCCGGGAAGCTCCTGAGCCATTTCTGGGTGGATGGTGCCGAAGGGAAAGGAGAGGAAGCCTTTTTTTTCAGCATAAAGCTCTTGTTGCCAGCAACTGGAGATGGGGAAAAGAATCAGAAAGCTGCCCAATGCCCAGTGAATGAGAGAAAAGGGGCAGGGGCAGGGAAGGCATGCGGCCCAAAAGGGGTAGAATAATTATTTCCCAAAGGCCAAAGTCATTTATTTATTTCTGTCTTTAGATTGTAATGATGCTAAAATGTGCAACTCGCAACAACGTAGAGCCAGGTGAGGATCCCCCAACCGTTTGGGTCCGGAAACACATTCGGACTGTCATGAGTATCTCAGGCACTTGCACAGGAGGGCTGCCATGCTAAGTGCAGCCAGGAGCAGAGGGCTGCCCTCCCCAGAGTCCGCAGGAGAAGTGGCTGGCCCCGAGCCCCAGTTCAAACCAGAGGGATGCAGGGCCGTTCTTCTGCGCTCACGGCCCTCCTCCCAGTACCCGCCCCACCGAAAGGGAACGGACGAGGGGCAGGGACTGCCACGTGGCCCAGAATAGCACCTGCGTGCCAGGAGTGTCCTGGCAAACCAAGCTGCCCCTGAAGACTGGCACTTCTCTGTGGAGCCTGTCAGCCTCCCAGTTTAAAATAATTATTCTTTTACAGACACTAAAAACAAGTGATGGAAACCAGGCAGGCCAGGGAGGCCGGCAGCTGGCAAGAGAAGGGGCTGCATCCTGAGCAGTGCCAGCATTTTAGTCCCCACCAAACCAGGCTCGGAGCACCGCAGACCTGCACCCCGGCAGCCCACGAGCCTGCCAGTTCCCTCCTTCCTGCAGGTGCCCTTCCCCTCTCTCCCAGCTTTCCTCCCTGCTCCCACCCGTCAGTCCGAACCCTGATGCCACTGAGCATGCTCAGAACTCTCTGGCCTTCGGGTGGTCGCTTAGACCTCCCTGGAGAAGAGGACAAAAGGGATGCGGGGTTCCTTGTCGGGAAAAGGGTGGGCTATACATGTAAGAACAGACGGATGGAGGGGGAAGTCCACTCAAGCTGCCAACATTGGTCCTACCTGCCGTTCTCAGTCTGAGCTGTAATGCGGGAAGAGAGACACCACGGTTTATATCTAACCACAAGATGAGGCGGACATCTGTGGGCTCTGGGCTGCCCATCCTAATGGTCCCATCCAGCCACTGCCCTGGCAACAGTTTCCGTCGCAGTGGGAGGCCTCAGGCACATGTCCCATGTGGCAGTTCCAGCAGACTGTGCTATCCCTCAAGTCAGGAGGCTCTGGGCTGGCCACCCCTTTCCTCATTCTGCTCAGAAACGCTGAGGACTTCAGCATGAAACCAGCCAGGTTTTTTTGGCATGAAACCCTTGCAAGGCAACCTCCCGCCCTCCAGCACCCTCAGACCCCTCTCCGCCTTCTGCTTATGTTCTGGGGGAAGTCGCTCTCCCTTCTGTCTAACCAGGTGGCCCTCTAGGGAGTTGGTGTGCTGTGCCCAGCTACACCCACAGGGTGGCAGTTTCACGCGTGGCAGCCATTTCGTGGCTGTCCATCCAGAAAAGGTTAGAAACCTTCTGCAGTAGCTCAGAGCAAGCAGAAAATGGGGGAGTGCAGCTCTGGACACATTTTCCAGAACAGAAGCATCACCGGCTGCCCAGAAAGCATGTCGCCAGCGGGCGGCTTTACACAAATTTAAATCAGGCAGAGGACCAAAGTAACCGTGAAACCCCTTCTTGCCCTATGAGTGAGTGCGGTGAAAATGAGGCTTTCAAGTTTTAATGTTGCTTGTGACCAATTAGACTGAATCTAGAGGAAGTCAGAAAACAGGAACATGATTAAGGATACAGCTTTCCTTTCCTTTGTTGGGGTTCCCACTTCACACCAGCC